AGACGAATGTAAAAAGATGAAATAAGAAGAAATTGAACGAGACATATTTCGAGAATTTTAACGAATTTTTAAACGGTTTAACTTTCTATAAATTTAATCTCATTATGTAAAAAAGAAAATACTTGTGTGATTCTTCCCGGTTCAATCAAATTTCAACGTAACTGTTGTATTTCTTTTTTCTCTCTCTCTTTCTTTTCAAATATTCTCCGAAGGACAAAGATTTATAATCATATCGATGAATGATTTTTGTATGAGAAAGTTGATTTGCAAGTTGATTCTCTAGTTGGATAATATGTTCGTTCTCTCGAACGAAGGAATTTTCGTGTGAAGAGCTTTCAGGAACATCGATCGTCCAACTCGTCTTTTTATTTTTAACGACGCTAGTGATATATCTGTGCAATGTAAATAATATTTTTCTCAAATAAACGAAAGCTCACGCGTAACCAGGAACCGCCACGATGTTTCTTCTTTCTTTCACGAATCCTTGTGTCTTCTTTCTTCTTCTTTTTTTTTTTTTCATACGATTTTTACTTCGAAACCAAAACTGGGACACCTTTCACTTTTATTTATTTTTGTTTTTAATACATAGCTTTTCTAAAAATGACTCGAGCAGCAACCTGCAGAATTTTTTAACGCGCAGGCGCGCTTATTCAGTTTCTTCAGAATTAAACTGTTCTACAAAGGGTGAATCTAATCTGCTTCTTCATCTTTCTACTAACGCGCGATTCGGTTTGCGAAATCCCTCGAGCGCGCAATCCGCTCAAGAAAGTTTCACGCTTAGAAAAATGCTAGCTGCTGTTCCTGTCAATGCTTAATTATGCTCGTTTGAAATTTCGAAGAAGCTATTGAAACGTAAATTTGGATAGACGACGAGTGTGTCGAGCGTTAACTGCTTCGACAATTTCAGGAGTATAAATAACAGGATAATGGTCGCTAATTCACCTGTGCAATTCGTGTCTCCTGTGTCATTTGCCGAAGAATATATTACAATCAGGTGATCGATTTAATTTCAGGAAAATTGGAAAAATTGAAGAAGATGAAAAATGTGATTATTTTGCAGAGACTTGCTTGGAAACAGAATTTCACACAAGTAGCAAAATGGGAAATTGAAAATGTTTAAATGCTGAAAGATGGAAGAAAGGATCGATCGAATTATTTATTTAACATCTTTGTTATGTATACAAGAAAAGAAAAAAAGAGTAGAATGATATACAAAAGCGTCACGATCAATGATATTATCGATACTGACAAATATTGCCGATATTATTCACTCTGTGTCGTTTGATATTGAGATTGAAGAATTCGCGAATGAAGATTTTTCGAAATATTTCGAAATTCAAGTCTCAATATTATTGTCGAACCATATTCATCGACATTATTGGCGCAAAATGTCCTCTTCTGATGACACCTTCGCTGAAACGTTTTGTTACTTGGATACAACGAGATGCAAATTGCAAAGTATAGAAAAAGTAATCGATAGTTTAATAGTTTCGACTCTGTATTTATCACGTTGTAACGAATCGCAGTGGGTTGGTCGCGAAACGTTAATCGTCCCTCTTCTCGAGTCAAACCAACCTGAGGAATCTACTCGGGATAAGGGACTCAGGTGGTGCACAGTAGATTGATAGTGAACGCACAACAACTTGGTATTAAACTATGTATTCGAACGTGTAATTGTC